CTTTCATATCAAAGTAGTCTGACCTGTTTTAACTCAGAACTGCTGCTCACTGGATAGTTTCCCATTTCAGACCATCCCTGTAAACCCTGTGATGGTTGTGTGGGAAAGTCCCAGAACATCAACAATGTCTGAAATGCTCGAACCAGCCGGTCCGGCATCGACAACCACGCTCAGTCATCTTTCTTCCTTATTCTGATGCTTGGTTTGCTGTCACGACTACGTCCACGTGCCTGAATGCAATGATGTGAAAGGCTGATTAGTTTGATTACTGCGATGAGCAGTGGATCAGTCGTATTCAGTAAAGTCATTACATTAGTTTGCTTTTTTTTTCCCCATTCCACCAGTTTAGTCAAGTTTCAGAAACATCCTTCACGTTTCATTTGTTTCTGAAAAACTTTACATCAATCCCACATTTATGCAGAACTCTTTCTGGGCTTGAGAAAAGAAATAAACATTTTGAGTCTTTAAAGGCTGCTGAAAGCTTTTTATTCATTCATCACAGAGTTGAAGTGATTGACTATTCATGTTCTGACAGATGTGAAAAACCTTTGGATTGTTGGCGCGCCTTTTATAAAATACGTCCCATTTCTTTTCTGCCGTGAGAATTGAGCCATTGAGTGAAACTGTAATTCAGCCAACAAACTTTACAGATGACAATACGACGATAGGATCCAAAGGATTCCCTTCAACATCTCTGTTTCAGGCGACGTGTGTCCATGATTGATCATGTGACTGCAGCAAATGTCAGCTGTCACAGAACGATTGGTAGGAGTGGCTCAGGAGGCGGAGACGGTCATCTACTAACTGCAGTCTGGTGGTTTGATCCCCGACAGCTTTGGTCTGCTGAACGGTGAACGTTAGCTAGAAAGTGCTTCGATGATGTTCATTTACACACACGGTCCAATTAAAAAGTGCTTAGACTCACATATTAAAACGAGTGTTTACAGCCTACTACAAAAATAATTAGGGCCTTTGCAATTTTTAAAAACAATTCATCTATTTGAAAAAAGTTAAGAAGACTTAGTCACTGATTGGACTTCTCAACCTTTTGTATTTTCACTGTGTGACCACAAACATCACTTGCTGTGTGGCACAGACCATCCAGGCACTTTGTGCTTTTATCAGGGCTAAAAACAGACGTTTGTCTGTGCGTTACAGCTGCACAGCTCATGATTAACCATCACGATAGGAGTCAAAGGCTCATGTTTTAATTTGTCCTGTTTTATGTTCCTGCCCTGGAGTAAGTGAAACATTACCTTTTGGAGTAAAAAGCTTCTGTGTTCATTGTGGGCCGTGATATATGTGCTGCACACTATGTGTCTCCGTTTGCCTCACAATAGTTTATCTAGTCGCTGCACTGATGTAGTGTTTGATTTACTTTGGTGTCTGGAAATCAGATTACAGAGACTTTAACAGACTTTTAATTTGACTTCTGTGAATGTCTTGGAAAAGACAAACGTGATATTAAGTACAGGCAGAAAAACAGTGCGATGTTAAGACTAAGAAAAGATGAGAGGCTTGTATCAAAAGCAGAGTTCTTAGACAGGAATAACACCAAATATTTATATTTGTGATGCAGACGTGTCATGAGGTCCGGTCAGCTGCCGTTGGGTCTGTTAAGTTGATCCTTGGACCACCACAGGACACTTTGTGCTCTGCTGGACAGGACTGGCTTGATTGGGCTGACCCAGGCTGTCTAT